GGCCTGAATACTTTGTGAGTCAAGAAAAGCCTCAAGGAAAATGATTCCGATGTGGTATTTCATTATTGCTGTATTCTGAGGGCGATCACATAAAGGCGCATCTTTGAGAAAGTTGGTTTCAAGACCCGGTAGAGCAGACATCGCGGAAAACGAAATAAAAAGTGGATGGCGTGACTTACTTGCATGATAAGAAGCCTTAGAACTCTTGTTTGCCTTTCCTTCGACTTTTTATCAGTCATCAAAGCAATTCTGGAGTTGATTAACCTCGCACTGATGATCATGCTGGCCAGAGCGCATAGCAATAATGAGACAAGGCTTATTAGCGATACCGTAAGCGAGACGTTCTTCTAAATTGTTTTGCTATTAGTGAAGCACAGCATCATTATTAACGCAATAGTTAATTACAATATCAGAGTATAGCTCCGGTCGTCCAAGCAACGGATGTTCGTAACCGTCTTTGAAAGTGGAACGACTCAGCCATGTGGCATACGCAAATGTTAATGTCCACAGTAAGGAAATTACAAGCGGAAATGCACAAATAGCGTGGAATTTTGCTCCTTCAATCCTGTGCATTCTAAATAATTATCTTTCAACCTATAAAGATTCAAAGAATTAACTTTTTCAAGTGTTATCAATTTCGTTATGTATCGACCCCTCTGCGCCGCTGCCTGCCGCTATTTTTCGTCACACTCGCTGAGATCCCTGCTCAGCTTTTTTATAGCTATTTCTTTAAACTACCTTTTTTGATTCCTTTTTGTGTGTTTCATGTAGTTCTGTTTTCTTTATAGGCAATGTCTATTTTGACTTCAAATGATTTGTAACTTTCGCTTAAACCTCTTGAGAAACCAACAATTTTTTGGACTATTTACGATGAACCCGAAGGATACGGTTGCAAATCTAGAAAACAATTCTTTTTGATGAAATGGCACGAGATAACTCTAGCTTTGCTAGATTATCCGAATACGTTTCGGATATTGTTGTTTTTAGCGAGATATCAATAAATGGTCCTGAACTCATTAATTCAGTAGAGAGCAGCTCGAATTAGTACTGTTTAAAAAACATTCTCATGAATAGATCTCGGGTTACATTAAGACTGATAAACTTGCGCGTAGCATCAATGTGTCTTGCCGAAGTCTTCTTGAAGAGCTTCCACCTTTATAGAGCCAAGCTGATGGAAAAATGTCTTGCATCTTTGCTCAACCTTGTAAAG